ACACGTGGCCGGAGCGCCACGGCAGCTGGTGCAAGTCTGTCAGTGCGCAGGCCCAGCGGACGGAAGCCCATTCTGAACACCGCCTGCTCCAGGAGGCAAGACCCTGGTGCTAGGCGTCTGTCCTTCTGTTCACTGGGCTCCTTTGCCCACACGGAAAGCAGACAGAGAACTCACAAAGAGGCACAGCACAACTGAAACACATTTAGAACAAAGCTGGAGAATCGATGAAAATCAACCAACCATCTCCTATATTCAAAGGCTACGAAAATAATATGGAAGCAACTGGCTTTTCATTTTATTATTATGATTTTTTTATGATTATGAACAAACTAGAAGGGGCATTTACATCATGACGAGAGGTTAATATGTAACACTTTCTTTTACTACGGGGTTTTCCCACTGAACCTGCAAACTGAGAAAGGAGCAACAAGAACGGCCATTGTACCAAATGGCCTTCCCCAGACACACACAGACATGCTGTGTCTGTATCCATTGTTATTTAACTATCTACAGTGGAAAATCAGAAACTCAAAAGCTAAAATGTAAGTTTAGTGCAATTTACATTTATATACCATCTTACTTACAGCTATAAGTTATCATTATATGCTGTATACTCTGTTACATAAATACAGGGTATATGCTACACACTATGCATGAAATATTTCTATTGTGGAAAGAAAATTAAACTTAAAACTAAGCATCTATGTTCAAGGTTATTGTTCATAACAAGAGATGATACATGTTGACACTTGAGAACAAATTAAGGTGCAAAACAAAGAGGAGTTTACAAATACTGCATCCAAGTCCAGTAGAATTTATGAAGCACCAAAAATGTTCGGGGGGGGGGGGGGTCGGGGATCAGGATGTTTAGAACTATTGTTTTTGCTCAAGAAAACATTACGCTTCATGATTCCTGAGTAAGATCAATTATAAAAGTCAGTATTCTGACAATGTAGTCATTAAAATATCCTTTAAAGTTTTGAAATTCAAGACATATATATAAGAACTATATAGAAACAGAACATTTCTCGAATTCTAAACGGGCGCACTACCGTGGGCAATCCTAGCCGACTACAGAGGTGGGCCTATTTCTTACGATATCGTACAGGTAGGCCAGCACGGTAGGCTGGGGCCACATGCCAGGGCTCACATTCTGTCCCTGCCATTTGTGCCAGCTGTGCAACCACGGCCAGGTCACTGCCCCTCAGAGCCTGAAGGCATAGCAGGGCTAATGACAGTCCTCGCGGGAATGTGGGAAAAGTGAGTGAGCTAATACGGGTAAAATGCTTGCAAAGGTGCCGGGATCATAAGTAAACCCTTAATCAATGCTAGCTGTTGATACCATTATTAGTTGTAGTTATTAATCATCTTGGAAATAGGATTAGCCATGAAAAACCATTTATGATATGTCATTACAGTTAGTAAGTGCAATAAACCAAAAATGTGAAATGAAACAAAGAGCCAGGAATCTGCCTGGGCTCCATCCGGCACGGCCTCTGGCTGTCCGACCGCTCTCCGAGGACCAAGGCCACAGCCCAGGCGCCTCTGCGCTGCTGGACCAGCGAGCCCCTGCTGGCCACACAGCACGTTGTTCTGTAGGCACTCCCTGAATCAGTGTTAAATAAATGCTTTTTGGTAAGAAATTTCGCAAAACTTTTTGTAAAGTTATAAATCAAATGAATTGGCAAGAATTATGCCAAAGGGATAAACTACAAGCATAAGTGTCTGTAATTAAATACGAGACATCACCATTTCTTACCGTTCCCCGACAGGGCGCAGTAGAAAGGGCTCCCTTTGCCCGGGAAACAGCACAAGGAACATTACCACGTCTACAGCTACTGGCTGCACCCCCGACTGAGCGCTCCTCCTGTGTGCAAGCTAATCCGTGAATGGCAAACACTGCCCCCTGCAGCCTGTGACGTGGGCTACCATCTCCCTTTCCAGATGAGGAAACAGGTTTAGAGATGTTGAGTAAAGTGGCCATAGCCACAGAGCTATCAAGTGGGCCAACTGGGATTAAAATCCAAATGTGTGGCCCTGGCCATGTTGCTTTGTTAGCTGGAGCATGGTCCCATGCACTAAAAAGGCACAGGTTCAATTCCGGGGGGTGGGGGGCACATACCTACGTTGCGGGTTCGGCCCCCAGTCAGGGTGCATACAAGAGGCAACCCACTGATGTTTCTCTCGCATCGTTCTCTCTCTCTCTCTCTCTCTCTCCGACACACTTAGCGCAACACGTTCTCCTTGGAGGTCAGGTACAAGTCAGGCACATGCAAATTAATTCACTGGCCCAACACTTGACATTATTTAAGGCATTATTGGTTAGTTTTTTATTCTATCCCTTAAGCTCCCTCCTCACTCTTCAAAACCCCAGTCTTTAGCGAATCTACAGCTGAATCAATAATCCCTCTACCTTCAGCCCAAAACTGTGTTCTACAAATAGAACTTTTCCATGTGTCTAATTTTCTTAGAGTGGGCAAGAAAGAAATAGATAAAAATATGAGCTGTAATTGTCTGTCTAGAAAGGAACAAAGGCAAGTACCCCCCCCTTTATGTTTTTTTTACAGATTACTTACAATAAGTAGCCAGTTTGTATTTCAGTCATGTTTAATCACTTTTACTACTGTTATGCTGAGAGCTGTTTCCTTCAAAAATGGCAACACTGCCTTAAAAAAAGGTTGACTATAGTCTGTGTAAAAGGACTTGACTAATAAGGATCTTTAATAACAACAGTACTAGAAACAACCAGCATCTACTGAGAAATTACGTGTGTCAAGAAATACTCTGAGTGCACCATATGTTACTCTTCCCTAAGGCACAGGTACTACTGCCCCATCTGCCAGGAAAGGAAACTGAAGCACAAAGAAATGAGACACGTTGCCCATGTGAGTGGCAAAGCCAAACCCAAAGCAAGAGCCCAACCACAGTCCTGGCTTGCTCTTTGGTTGATGATGTTTGTCCACAAGAGGTTTATACTTTGAATAATGCTTTAAAATGAGGCGGTCAAACTTTGGAACTTAAAAATCTTTTTTTTTTTTTGTACTTATCTTGAGATAGAGCGGGAAGGAGAGAGGGAGGAGGAAGAGAGAGAGTAACATCGACGTGAGAGACACACACTGAGTGGTTGCCACCCACACGAACCCAACCAGGCCAGGGACAAACTGCAACCAAGGTACGTGCCCTTAGCAGGAACCGAACCCCAACCAGGCCAGGGACAAACTGCAACCAAGGTACGTGCTCTTAGCAGGAACCGAACCCGGGACTCTCTGGTCCACCAGCCGATGCTCTAAACGCTGAGCCAAACCGGCCAGGGCTAAAAATCTTTTTTAATAAACAGAAATCAGAACTGAAATAAAATTGTGTATTTAATAAAACTTAGTCATGAACCTGAAAGAAAGAAAGTGGCCCCTCTAATGACTAGATATGCAATACCACCCCACAGAGGTGTGACTGACTTCGCTAGTTAAGGGGATGGGAGGAGGGGCAGGGTGGCCACTAAACCAGCCCCGAAGCCGTCTGAAGGCAGATGAGTAATTCCACCCTGAAAGGAAGGGCGAGGAAGCCTCCCTAAATCTCTTCCCCACCAGTGTGGATCTTGACAGATCAAAGAAAAAAGACTTCCAAGTAGAGAGAATTTGGCAGAAGTTGATAAAAATTGACAGAAAAATAGCAGGAGGTGAGAATGCTAATACTGACACGCCCCATGCAATGGGACATCTGATCCGAAGCAAACGACGCGGAGCAAAATCAAATTTCTAGGGATGATTTCAACAGGATCATGATGCTTAGCTATAAGTTCTCTTGCAGAATTAAGTTCTGCAACAATGTGCAGATGTTTAAGTTTTATTATCAATATGGTTCATGTTTTCAGGCTATAAAATGTATATTTAATTAAACCCAAAATGTGTATAAAAGTTTTAATAATAAAATAAGATTCAAGACACAGTAGTTGCTCATATCTATAAAAAGAAAAACCTTTAATGAATAGGAAGCTGAATACTAAAGTAAATTAACAAAAAATAAACAGCCAATGTAATATAAAAACATGAGTTAACTGAGGTCGTTAATGTCAGTTAAATGGCAAATGATCCATTACAACCAATGTTTAAATGCGTGTCAATTAAATATGAGCAGACAGCCTTGCAATCCGAGTTTAAAGATTTGCTTTTACTTCTTCCAGATTCATATACTGTCTTTTCAAACATGAACGTTTTCTCTGAATTAAAAACCTTTCTTTACACTTATTACAGAAACACTGAATAAGACGACTTTTGCCAATTAAGTTTATCAAAACAGAGGATATTATTACACTGATTTTAGAAAGGAAAAATCCACAAATTATCAATTATCAATTTCAAATCATTTGATTAATAATTACAGAACCATGACACCATATTCTCACTACTCTTTGCTTCTCTTTTCTTCAAGGGCTACTGTCAATAAGATGTATGTTATGGACTGCTCTTAAGAACCACAGTCTAAAAGAACCTCAAAATGTTTAAAATATATGAAAGTTTTCCTTCCATAAGAACGTAAAATGAAAATAAAGCCCTGGCCGGTTTGGCTCAGCAGTTAGAGCATCAGCCCCGGACCAGAGAGTCCCGGGTTTGATCCCCACCCCGGGTGGGTTCATGCAGGAAGCAATCAATGGATGTGTCTCTCCACAGTGATATTTCTCTCGCTCTCCCTCCCTCCCACTCTATTTAAAACAAACAAACAAACAAAAAAGAACAACAACCAAAAAAAAACAATGGAAAAATATCCTCGGGTGAGGATTTAAAAAAATAAATAAAAATAAAGCAGTGTTTAATAATAGCCTACTGTATTTATTTGGAAATGAAAGTCTTCACTCACAAAACATCTTCCTAAAATATCCTCCGTTTGGCCTGAGCCAGATCTTCTGATAGCGCTCCAGTTCTAGATTGAATGTCACCCACACCTGCCTCTCCCTAGCGCAGCTGCACCCCCCAGCCTCCCACCCTGCAACTTCCTCCCACACGTTCACAGATAGAAGCTTTTCCTCACTTTATTTTTGTTTTCCAGTAACACTGAGTTATTACCATACACCTCTCAAAAATTCCTAAAGAGCCGGAACACCAACGGGTCCAAGGAGATCCAAATCCCAGTTAGGAATGTAACTGCTTTGGGCCATTTCTCACTTACCCAGCATGTCCTTCCTTTCTTCCACAGTGAAGTTCAGGTACCTTGAAAGAGTAGGCACAAGAGCACTGTGGGGCAAAAATAAGGATCTGAAAATTATATTCTGAGAAGAGATTTAAGTAGACATTTGAATAGACCAAACTGGAAGTTACAAAGATTTAGCTGCCATGATTATTATGCTAAAGGAAGCATCCCCCACAGCTCACACCTGTTCCCGGAGCCAGGCCACAGGACTGCTGCAGCACAGCCTTGCTACACTGTTTCCTGTCCCCGGGCTTTGCCCCACACAGTGAGAGGTGAGCAGCCAGTCCCCGCTGCTCTCCATCCCCCTCCTGACTCCAGCCAGGGTCTGTCTGCAGCCTAGCCACAGCTTCACCCTTCCTGAATGCCAGACCCAAACAAACAGCGGGAGATAATAAGATGACTATTTAATAAATTGAAGTTTTGAGATGATTTGTTAGCTGAAACAACATTACGCACAATATATGCAGAGAGAAAAGCCAATGGAGGGATGAGAAACAGTTCAGCAGGGAGAAGGAGGGCCGAACCAGAGTCTCTCAAGGGCACCAGAAAGAGAACAGCAATAAGGAGCAAACCGAAGTAGTCTCTGTAACCTAGAAAACACAAGAACTGGGGATCTCCAGATTAAAATTGGGAGAATTACCTGAAAGTCTGCAAAAACCAAAGCATCAGACCACCACCATCCCTAATGCAACATAAGGGAGGTTCTCTAGACACAGAACCAGAAATGCTCAAGGCTCACAGTGTGGTGGCGATGGCTTGTGAAACAGGGACAAGCCATGAGAGTAAGTGCTGAGCACTGAGAACTCAACCCCCTTCCCAGCCCAGCTCCACAATGTCAGCAGCCAGGTTTAAAGATCACTCACCATCTCTCCAAGCAGGAGACAATAGGTGCCCTCTACTGAGAAAATAAACTCCTCTAGAGAACAGATACTCACATATCAACCTGAGGATGTCCCCAGTGAGAAGGCTGGACGATAGCACCATGACCCCACAGAGATGTCTTCCAGTCCCCAAATCCAGCTCACACGGGAACTTCCAATCAGCATTTTCATGCTTCCCCCTTAAAAATGAACACTTTTAAGTGAAGTCTTTGGCATAAAAGAAATTATAAAAAGGAAAGAGAGTAATTCAGAAGAAACGGGGATAATGCAAGGAACAGAACATTTTAAAATAACATTCTGTTTCCAAGAGGGAAAAAAGACACTGTATACATAAAACAAATACAGAATGAAGTAATAAGAAATGAAATATAAAGAAAAACACTTTGATATAAAATAAAAAGAGAAAAATAACAAGAGTCAGGTTGGAAGATAAAGTCAAAGTTATCTTTTAGACAACAATAAACAAATGAAATAATTAGTATAAGAAAAAAAAAGGTCAATCAATTCAATATCCAAATCCATCCAGATTGAGAAAGTAGAGAAAGGAAGAGAAAGAAATTATAAATAAACACTACAAGATAATTGCCAAGAGAAAACAGTACAAACTTAGCACCCAGCACAATGAAGAACAACAAAAAAAGACCAACAGAAACACAAACACACAGTTAAAATCCTAACAGCTCCCAGGGACTGACAGAGGAAGTCTCAGCCAGTCGGCCCTCGTTTATCGCGGTTAATCAGGTCCAGACTCTACCCGATAAACGAATTTCCGCGAAGCAGGATTCCTTATTTATACAGTTGTCCCTGCCACTTGGGCTTCGACTTTCTTGGCTTCACTCCATCGCAGCTTTTTCTTTCTTTTTTTATCCTCATCTGAGGACATTTTTTTTGTGTGTTTTGTTCAGATAGAGTGGGAGGGAGGGAGAGAGGAGAGAGAGAGAGAGAGAGAGAGAGAGAGAGAGAGAGAGAGAGAAACATCGACGTGAAAGGGACACATCGAGTGGCTGCCACCCGCATGACCCATCCAGGGCCGGGGACAAACTGCAACCGAGGTACGTGCCCTTAGCGGGAACCGAACCCGGGTCTCTCTGGACCACAGGCCGATACTCTAACCGCTCAGCCAAATGGGCCAGGGCTCCAAATACTGTACTTGAAAAACCACGACCGGTGAAGCCGGGAAGTGGAAGTGCGAGGTGGCGGGGAAGACTGTGTAAAGCGCACCAAAATGGCATCTATTTTCTCAGCAGCAACGTGAAATGCTTGAAGACAGGAGTATCAGAAGTTCGAAGGTTATGTTTTTTAAAGTCTTAGAGAAAATTATTTCCATCCTAGATTACTCTGTCTAGCCTAGCCAAACCAATTAAATGTGAGGGTATAAGGAAGGTATATTGAAAAATACAAGGTCTAAAAAATGTGCTTCCCCTTCACACGTCCTTAGGAAGCAACTGAAGGGTGTACACAGTTGGATGACACGTGACTCAGGAAACAGAAGATCCACGTGGAAGAGGAAAGGGAAGAGGCAGGAAAGAGAGGAAGGAGCATCCTAGCGGAGAGCTGTGTACAGAGCAGACAGCACAAGCTTAGTAAGACAACCCGCCGCAGGAGTTGGCGTGGGAGACTGCATCCCAGAAAGTTCTCATAAGAGAAAAAAAAAAAAAGGAATTGAAAAAAAAAAACAATCTGACAGCTACGACAATAAGAAAAACTGCTGAGCTTTCAGAAGGTGCAGAAAGTACTAGTAAGATGTTAACAACAACACAAAAACATGAGAAAAGAATGGGGCAAACTTTAACTCCAGACGAAACTAAAAGTCAATTTAATTATTTTATTTATTTATATATGTACACACACATGAAATACATACATACATATATATACACACACACACATATACACACACACACACACACTTACTAGTGAACAAATAGACCTAACAATGAAAACAGTAACATGGTCGTAACCTAAAGCTGAGATGTGATTATACTGGAGGACAGTGAAGGGTGGGAAAGAAAGGGTACAAATCAAGCTGTAATCCTCATCTAGCAGTGAGGCGTTAAATAATGTCAAATTGAAGAATTAAGAGATAATATAGGGTTATGATTATATAAATGTGCATGTGAATTTTTAAAAGACATATAGATTTCAAAAGACACTTTCATTTGATTTTTAATATTATCTATACATTAGCTAGGTATTTGTAAGTTTTGCGTAGCTCTGGAAATTTAGACTACCTGGGTTACAATGTAGCCGAGGAGAAAGGTACCGAAGTGCCTTCCATCCACTTTTGTTTTCTGCCGCCTGCTCAGTGTAGCCAACAGGAGGAAATGTGGAAACTCTCCATGTGCTGATGTGGTGAACTAGGCCACTAATAACCTCCCATCCCCGCTTTCCTGTTACCCCCCAAAATAGACAGTCACCGGCCCTGTCCACCCACAGGTGATGTGAAAGTGTGAGCAATCTCGGAGAAAGAGGCTTATGGTGCTGTCTAATAGGAGAGCATTCGCGTAGCACATCAGACGAGGGAGGCTAAGGCGCCTGCTAGAAGTCTCAAGAAATAAGATGCCTTTCAGTGTTTTGCTGAGTCATGAATTAAACAAAAAGATTGGTTTCACTCAACTGCCAGGATGACAAAGACCAATGCTGAAGTACAAGTATCAAAATAAAAATTCTGAATAGGTTCACCATGAAACTGTTTCTTCAATTCTGAGATCCTTTATAAAGTCATGAAAGTGAGCCAAAAACGATGTATGTATTCCTCTATATGTTAGGGCTCTTCACTGCTTCACGCCCAGACCCGAGCTCAAGTACACTCCTGCCCGGCTGCGACCTGCAGCGGCCGGGCTGCGCGGGCCAGGTCTCCCCCCGCACGGGGCGGACGGCAGACTTTACACAGGGCAGCTCTTCATGGAGCGCCTCTGGACGAAGCCACACACCTACCCCTCGAGGGACAGCATCCTGAACTAGCTCACTGCCTGGCTCACTAATTCTTTGCCACAGATACTAATCAAATTATAACAATGCCATGATTACGGACCTAAGCATTATAAGAAATTTGAATGACTTTTTAATGAGAAATGCTAAACTTTTTTAGATACTTTTAACTTCCAGGGTCTTTTAACTGGGGTGCTAAAAAGAAAGGCCACACTGCAGTCCACGTTTAAAAGGAAGAACCAACTGACTAAAATAATCCTATTTGTATTCATGTAACTCTCTCCTGCTGCTGAGCCTCTGCCAAGCTCAGACACAGGCAGAGCAAGTAGTAGTTCAGCACCCGTAGCGGCACAGAAGATGGGCAGCCCCCTCCTGGCTTCCAGCCTCCCACACCTGTCACCGGGGTGGGTGATTTCTCCCCTCGGCAGGATGTGCAGTTTACAGCTGAGTCAGTTTGCTAACAGCATATCCTGTGGAAGGGAAACAGCCTTCACTGGAACCTGACCTAGATAGAAAGGGTAAGTTCCCAACGAGGCATTTCAGCAGTTATGCCAGACAGGTATTTGACTATGATGTGCTACAGCATCTAGCTGTCCTTGCAAAGTTGAGATTCCTGTCAACTAAGAATTTCAAATGATTCTGTAACCAGATAAATATGGAAAGAGTAATAACAAAACTACAAAGTAGAAAAATAAAATTCTTCGGCCAGAACCGGGGAACCCCGCTGGCGCCGCCTCGCTTCCAGGGTTACACACCGAAAGGCGGGTGCCAAGGGCACCTCAATCTTCCTTCACGACGCAACTCAACAGCATGGAAGTGCACTTATTACTTTTAACTGGGACAATGTAAATGTGTTACCATGTACTCTTGAGCCAGTGGCCATTTGGATAGAAAATGGAGAAGAATTTGGAACAAAATAAGTTTGATGTGCTATCATAAGGAAGTCTGAAACAATGTGTAGCTAGAAAAAGTAACACGTCACTTTTTAATATACACTGCTAGAAAGTAAAATTATGATTCTACAAAGGAAACGGTCCTTTCTATACCAACAAAACCCAATCACTAAATCCTTTTGAAATGTGTTAACGCAGACACTCCTACCATGAAACTCAACAGGGTAAGTGAAGACCCCCTACCAAACCGCAGTGACAACGGCATCCACACGGTGACACGCAACAGGCTCTTCTCGTAATGGAAGACCCGGAGCAAAGCTTTCACTCAGTGACCAGAAGGGTCTGGCACATACACGTGGGTTGCCATACTTCTGTATTTAAAAACTACACTAAAATGATGTCTAGCACCATGTCTACCCAGGAGAACTGCATTAACAAAACTTATGGAAGAAAACACCTTCTCAATACCAGGCATAAAGCAAGCTGTACTTTTGCCTAGTTTTAAGTCCCATTGTTTCGGTGTTCGTGTCTGTCACAGAGACTGCATTTCCTCTTCCCCTTTCAAAAAATGGACAAAACACGTAATGTAACAATTTTCATGACACTAGTCATCAAGCAGCAAGTGGTGCCCGAGAAACAGGAAAACATAAGGGGAACCCTTCGCTGCTCAGCTGACCGCCCGGAGTGGGTCCCCAGCTCGTGTCGGGGACAGGCGGTCTGGAGCCCAGCTGACCGCCCGGAGTGGGTCCCCAGCTCGTGTCGGGGACAGGCGGTCTGGAGCCCAGCTGACCGCCCGGAGTGGGTCCCCAGCTCGTGTCGGGGACAGGCGGTCTGGAGCCCAGCTGACCGCCCGGAGTGGGTCCCCAGCTAGTGTGGGGGACAGGCGGTCTGGAGCCCAGCTGACCGCCCAGAGTGGGTCCCCAGCCCGTGTGGGGTACAGGCGGTCTGGAGCTTTTTCCCTAAGTTAAGGAAGGCGCTGGGGGCCCAAGGAGGCCAAAAGGGCTGATGTTCCCAGGGAAGGACAAAGACAAGGAGAAAGCTACACACAGACAGGACTCTGGATATCAGCAGTGGCCCCCAGGCCCAGCAGAGGAGTGTTCAGTCCACACCATAAGCATGAAGAAACAATCTGAGGACGGGGAATGAACCACCCAAAAGGACAGGAAAGAACAGTCCTCAGGGCTAAACCCACGAGAGTTCCTCTGCCTAACTAGTCTGAGATGAAAAACTGCAAAAAACACTTGGAAGAAACCCTGTCTCAAACGAGGGACTAAACTAGCTGGGCTGGTGTGGCTCGGTGGCTGAGTGTCATCCCATGGACCGAGAGGTCCCTGTCTGATCCCGGTCAGGACACATGTGGGGTTGTGAGCTCGATCCCTAGCAGGGGGTGTGCAGGAGGCAGCCGATTGATGTTTCTGTCGCTCTCCCTTCCTCTCTCTCTAATAAATAAACAAACAAACACAGATTTTAAAGAAAGGTGAGGGGTACAAAATTAGTGCTAAACACCACTCTGGTTCTACCTACCAAAGCCTAAAATAAGTCCCAAAAGGATAAAGCTGTTTCCAAGTAATGTAACTGGGTCCCACACCAAAGCATAAAGATGTGTATACAAATACATACATACCTACATACATACATAACTGTCCAGCACCCAACAACCAGGTCAAGTTCACAGTGTCTGGCCCCAATCAAAGATTACCGGGAATACAAAGAAGCATAAAAATATGACCCAAACAAAAAGAAAACGCAATAAACTGAAATGCACAGAAAAATAACAAAGATGTGTGAACTTGTAAGTAAAATATTCAAAGTTCTAACTATATTCCAACTTTCAAAAGCGTAGAGGGGGAAAGTTCACATTTTAAGTAGAGGCAGAAATTAAGTGAAATAACCCAAACTGAGTTTCTAGAGATAAAAACTATAATGTCTGATATAAAAAATACACTGGGTATATTTAATGGCAGATTGAAACAATGCACAAGAAAAGACTCCTAAATCTGAAACTGAACTCATAATACAGAAAGAAAAACACAGAGAAAAAAAAACTCAGGAAGTTCAATATATATGCACGGGCGTGGGCAGAATATTTGAGGAAAAGACGGCTGCAAATTTTTCAACTACGAACTGTAAATTCACAAAACTACACGCAAAAGACACACAAAGAAAATTACAGACATACGACCATATATATACGGTAACCACACTGCCGAAAACCAGTAACAGAGTCTGAAGATGAGCCAGGAAAAAAGAAACACATTATACAAAGAACCAAAATAAGAAAGACTTCTTGTCAGAAACAATGAAACCAGAAGACAGTAAAGCAGTATTTTAAAAGAACTAAAAGAAAAATACTGTCAAACTAAAATTCTATATTCAGTAATGAAAAAGAAAAAAAAAATCTTTCAAAAATGAAGCAATCATACATTTCACAGACACACACACACACACACACACACACACACACACACACACCAAACCACCCACAAGTGATTTTAAAATGATAAAGTGGACTTTGGCAAAACTGGAGGTCTTTTTTTTTTTTTGCTTCAAAAGACACCTTTAAGAAAAATGAAAAGATAAGCCACAGACTGAGAAAAATACATGCCAATCATTATAGGATAAAGAAGTATCTAGGGTATATAAAGAATTCTTAAAACTCAGTAAGAAGACAAAACAATCCAATTTAAAAGTTAGCAAAGATTTGAACAAGTATTTCAGAAAGGAAGGCATAGAAATGGTCAATGTACACATACAAAGATGCTCAGCATCATTAGTTATTAGGGAAATGCAAATTAAAACCCCAGTCACATAGACCAGAATGGCTGTAATGAAGATCCAGAAGATAAATGTTGGTGGGATGTGGAGAGGAACATTGCTGTAGGAATATAACACGGTCCAGCCACCTTGGAAACCAGTGTGGCAGTTTCTTAAATTGCTAGACAGAAATTTACCACATGTTTCAGCAAAATTCTGCTAGCCCAGAAACTACTCACAGGACATGAAAACATGATGTCTACAGAAAGACTTAGGCATGTTCCAGGCAGAACTATTCATGATAATGAAAAAGTGAAACAACGCCCACCAAATGGTGGAGAAATAAAATGTATAGTGGTTGATTAAAACTATGACAACAGCAGCAACAAGGAAAGACAGGGAGGCAGGCTGCTGGAAAGTCATTATACTCTGTGTGAAGCGGCATAATACAAGTAGAAGAGAAGCTGAAACCCAAAAGCAACAGCTAGGACAACAAATTAAAGCTAATAAATTCTATTGTTCCAGGTGATGCTACCCATGGAATTAAAACAAATCTGCCAATATCTAACAAAAGAGAAGCTAAAAGATGGGAGATTTTCATATGTGCTTTCACTTGGATTTTTAATGATCTGAATTTCATTGACATAATAATGTGTCTTGTGTGAAGAAGGTAGAGAATAGTATTGGGGTTGTTTTTTGTTCTGTGTTGTTACATTTTCAAGAAACAATTTAACCTTTATCTTCTTCAATCTTAGGCAAAATTGCAACACTTTAGTCTCTAACTCTAAACAATTAGCCTGTCATGTACATTAACCAAACAAGATTATTTACTATGAAACTATTTGATAGCCATAATTCAGTGTGTTTTCAAATGCACTCTACTGCAAAAAGGAGAGTCAGTAATGCTCCCCTTGTGAGAAACCAAGAAGTATGAATAATGAAGCCAGGACTCCTCTGGCTTTGTTATTACAAGGTTTACAAAGCTAACCTCCCTGAGGGTTTACATTTTCAAGATCCTCAACTGTAGTCAGACGGAACTTGTTTAGATTGCACATCTTCATTTAGATTATTAAAAAACAAAATGCACATAAATATCACTGAAATATACTCACAGTAAAAATTCCAATTTCAAAACTACATTACAGTTTTTACTTCACTCCTCCCCATATTCGTTTTTTGTTCTCCGAAAATCCTGGGCAGTGTCAACCCCTAAATGAATAAAACAACGTTCTCCAATCAGATCCCCTTTTTTTTTTATCCTCACCCGAGGACATTTTTCCATTTTTTGTTCAGGTAGAGTGGGAGGGAGAGAGAGGAACAGAGCGAGAGAGAGAAACATCGATGTGAAAGGAACACATCGAGTGGCTGCCACCTGCACAACCGACCAGGGCCGGGGACAAACTGCAACCGAGGTACGCGCCCTTAGCGGGAACCGAACCCGGGTCTCTCAGGACCGCAGGCCGACGCTCTAACCGCTGAACCAAACTGGCCAGGGCTCCAATCAGATCCCTTTGAAAAATCTTTCTAAATTAGCCCAGCAAAATGTTGCAGAAAAATAACATTTGAGATACAGAAAGAACCTCTGTTCAGGTTATATAAAAAGTAACCAGAACAGTAGAGATGTTTGGGAATTGAAAAAACAAACAAACACACAAAAAGATATAGATCACAACACACTTTTTCATCATAACCACAAATATATAGCTTAATATGTCTTGTTTTTCTATTTATAATCAGAATAAAATATGTCACTAAACTACTATAAAGAAATTTCTAAATAAATCCAATGTTATAACTATTGAGATAAAACTAGTGAATCAAACTGAACCAAAAATGTGTGTGTGTTCGAGGGGAAATCTCATTCAAGACAAACTAGTGGAATAATTTTTGCAGAGTTAAAAATATAAACTACATGAATTATTTTTTATTAATTTCATGTGCCTCTAGCCTCTATTTAATAGTGGGGATTCTGCGGTGCTTAAAAAACTAAGTTCCTTTTATTTATTTTTATTATTTTTTGTTTTTGTTTTTGTGGGGTTTTTTATCCTCACCCGAGGACATTTTTCCATTTTTTTATTCAGACAGAGCGGGAGGGAGAGAGAGGAGGAGAGAGAAACATCGACATGAAAGGGACACATCGAGTGGCTGCCACCCGCACAACCCAACCAGGGCCGGGGACAAACTGCAACCAAAGTACATACCCTTAGCGGGAACCGAACCCGGGTCTCTCCAGACAGCAGGCCAACACTCCAACCGCTGAGCCAAACTGGCCAGGGCTGTTTTGGTTTTTTAATTTTTGGAAAGGGAGGGAAGGGGGGAGGGACAGAAACATTGATGTGAGAGACACTGATTGGTGGCCTCCCCAACCAGGGCTGGGTTTGGAACCTGCAACCCAGGTACATGCCCTTGACCAGGTTGGAACCCTCGACCCTTCGGTCCAAGAGCCGACGCTCTAACCACTGAGTCAAATCGGCCAGGGTGCAAAACTAAGTCCCTTTTAAATAAAAAATTTTAAAAATTAGTTTCATTGCATGAAAGTAAAAATAAATACTCCAGAAAATAAGCAACTTGGAAACTCACTAATAAAAATAAACCTACATATCCTATTAAAATGCTTTTTAAAGTAATTTATGGGAAACAATAAAGCATAAAATTTGAGAACCAGAAAAGATACTGAAGATAATTTAGTTGGCTCTTTATCACATAAACTTAAAAACTACATTCCTTTACACCAGCACTGTGACAAGAGAAACATTCTATGTTCTATGCTGTCCAATATGACAGTCACTAACCAAATGTACTTGGTCAAATTTAAATTTGTTACAATGACATAAAATGTAACATTCACGCAGTATTCATGAGTGCCAATCAAAGCATCACTTCTTTCTAGGATTATTCCATTTCCTTCAAATGAGTCAAAATACAAAGAAATTCCTGAAAGTATAAGAAAATAAATTGCCAGATTCCTAAGCTAACTGTTTTGGTGGGTCCTCTGTTAGAAGATCACTTGTTTTGGAGAAGTATCTCTGAATTGTAACCAACCCCATTCCTAATTTCTACAGGTTCCTCTGGCTGGATCTGGTGAACATGAGAGGACGGCAGTAACTGAGATGTTCACCTGAATCCCGAAGACTACCTAGCAGGGAGCAAGGGCACAGCTGCCCGGTAAGAGAGCCTCCTACTTTAATAAACGACATGGATGAGAGTCATTTCAGCTTGGAGTGCTGATTTCAAACTATGGTACCCAAGTTTCTGTGTACATGGTTACTAAAAATGTTAATCTTGCACTAGTAACTAAGGAAAAATGATTTTTTTGTTGTTGGTTTTTAACATTTTTTTCAATTATAGCTTACATTATTTTGTATTAGTTTCAGGTGTGCAGCATAATTGTCAGAAAATCACATACTTTACAAAGTGTTCCCCTTGACATTTCCAGTACCCACCTGACTGACACCATACATAGTTATTACATTATTGACTGTATTCCCTGTGACTATTTTGTAAGTACCAATTTGTATTTCTTTTTTTTTATCCTCACCAGAAGATATTTTTCCATTTTTTGTACAGATAGAGTGGGAGGGAGAGAGAGGGAGGGAGAGAGAGGAAGGGAGAGAGAGGAAGGGAGAGAGAGAGAGAAACATCGATGTGAAAGGGACACATCGAGTGGCTGCCACCCGCACGACCAACCAGGGCCGGGGACAAACTGCAACCGAAGTACGTGCCCTTAGCGGGAACCGAACCCGGGTCTCTCCGGACCGCAGGCCGACGCTCTAACCGCTGAGCCAAACTGGCCAGGGCCCAATTTGTATTTCTTAGTCCCTTCATCTTTTACACTCAGCCCCCCAAACCCCTAAACTTCTGGCAACCATCAGTCTATCCTCTGTATCTAGGAGTCAGTTTGTTCTGTTCATTTATATTGTTCTTTAGATTCCACTTGTAAGTGAAATCATATGGTATTTGTCTTTTCTCTGACTGAATTATTTCACTGAGCGAGAAATAAGGTCCATCCATGCTGTACAAATGGTAAGATTTCATTCTTTTTTATGGCCAAGGAATATTCCTTTGTACCTTTGTACCACAGCTCTTTTACCTGCTCATCTATGGATGGGCGCTTGGATTGCTTCCATGTCTCAGAAATTGCAAACAGTGCTACAATGAACGCGAGTGCATACAGACATACAGGTGGCCAACAGACATATGGAAAGATGCTCAACGTCACCAATCAACAGAGAAATGTGAATTAAAACCACAAAGAAAGATCACCTCACACCTGTCAGAATGGCTCTCAACACATCAGCAAACAAGTGCCGGTGAGGTGTGGGGAAAAGGAACCCCTCTGCACGGTGCTGGGGATGCAGGCTGGTGCAGCCACTGTGAAAACTGTATAGAGGTTCCTCAAAAAATTAAAAATAGGAAAAACTCTTCATCAAAGTTACATGATCTATTCAAATAATTACTCTTAATAAAGTAGATCTGCATAACTTTACACTCAGAGAGGCAAAAGCGAGGGCACCAGGTGAAGGGCGCTCACTGCCAGCCCTCATCACTGTGCTGTGGCACAGAGCACGCACTGGGCTCCGCACAGGCACTGGCTGCCCCACCGTCCCCCAGATACAAAACAAGTGACCATCCTGGGCCATTTGCTTCTCTTTTCTGCTTGTTAAGCCACAAGACATCATAAGTGCTCAATTAACTTTTGAGAACGGCTATTGATGACTACATAGATATTAGCTAATGTTCCTTCTAGAATTTCGGTCTTAAAATTTTCATATAGGAATTCTGGAGGAAATCCTGTCAAGTGAACAAAAATAATGTCTTTGGTCTTCTTGTGTACTGAGTTTAAAATGTTCCAGTTCAGAGCTCTATGAGGTAAGGGGTATAAGTCCTTCCTAACCCATTCCCACCCGGTGGACAGCATGAGTCTGAGATGGCCCCAAGATTCCTGGCTCCTGCTGCACAACCTCTCGCCATGGGAGCAGGCAGGGCCTGAGAATGTGTTGGGATATGAGCCCACAACTCAGTTACATTAATGGCAATGGTCAGGGACTCTGCTGATGAAACTCAGGTCCCTAATCAGTTGACTTGCAGTGAATCAAAAGGGAGGTTATCCAGGGAGGGCCTGACCTAATCAGGAGAGCTCTTCACAGGGGGTCAGAGCAACTCAGCCACACTGAAGAGACACGCTGCCATGAGTCCTATAGCTGCAAGGACATGAATTCTGCCACCAACCATGTGAACTTAGAAGAAGACCCCAAGACTCAGAGGAGACCCCGCCCCGACTGACACCCCGTTATCAGCCATAGGATATGCTGAGCTATGAAATAAAAATGAGTGTTATTTTAGTGGTAATTTATCACATAGCAATAAAAGCTAGCGCATTCCCAAACTCATCCGCTCTTGACTGTTTGATATATTTCATTCAGAAATTTTCTGACTACAGATGCACACACCCTTCTCTAAGGAACCCTGTTACATAATGCTACCTGCTATTATTCCCACGGTAAAGACAAGAAAATCTCGAGGCTAAATGACTATGATAAGACATTAGTAAGCTCATGCAATCTATCAATAAGGATATGAGGCTCATTTTACTAATAACATTGCAGTTTTAAAGAAGTCATAATTTTTCCAAGATCACAAAGCAAGTAAAAGCAGAAACTGGAATGTTTGAATTCAAATCTATTTTAATCCAAAGCCCCTAACCCCACCAATTTTTCAGTTCTTGTTCTCTGATGGTTACTCTTAACCAGAAACAGGTCTCTGACAACCTCATCAACCGTGGATTTCAGAATGCCTGAGACGGGTGAGACGCAGCAGTAAACTGGGTTTGCATGTGCGCCGAGCGTGAGAGAGAAAAATCAGGGCCCAGAGAAAATGAGAGATTTACATTTTCACACAAAATACAAACGGGCAAAATTATGTTTCTCCACCAGAGACCCAGGGGTACGAGGGCAGTCAAAGCAAGGCTGAGAGAGAACCAGGTCCCGCATAGCACGAGCGCTCGCTCAGGTCACAAACATCGATGTTGTAATTCAGGTTGAGAAAGGCATAAACACATTGCACAACACACAGGGGACGAAAGCGAAATCCACGGAGGCAGCCGGAGGCAAAAGGCACCCAAACGTTTCATCACATCAGTGAATACAGAGTGGGAACCCACGAGAGGCCCACAACCCAGAGGGGATGT